CGTTCGTAAAAGACACGACCGCTACCTCTTTGTTGCATCCTGGTGTCTGGTTGAATACCTCATAGTACCTCTTGGCATAGGCCCTAAGGCTTTCATCCTTACTGATTCTCAGAGCCATCAAGGAGTCCACCCTTACTGATTCTCAGAGCCATCAAGGAGTCCACCCTTAATGGCTGTGGCTTATTTGTCACAAACCTGGCCACGAACGTCTCGGCCAGGCCTTCCCAGGTTTTCACAGTTCCTTTCGGCAACTTGTGAAACCAGTTCGATGCAATTTTCCTGAATAATGAGGGGAACACCTTACAAAGCAACGGCTTATTCCCGGTGTATAGTGCCACCGAGTTCAGGTACAAGCTGACGTGAAAGTTGGGGTCCGACTTGTCGTCGTATATCTGGAATCTTGGCATACTGAACCTTTTCGGGGCCTCAAATTTGTCAAACTCTACCGAGAACGGCGTTCTCGGCTTAACAGGGGAGGTTACCTTGACATCTTGTTGCTTCCTCTGAAGGTACTCCCTCAAATCCTCCTTGGTCCATCCAGGAGCTCGGCTATCACCGGATTTTAGCCTCTTCGGTGCGCTACTTCCAGTGTCATTATGAGTCCTTTTAGATCCCCCTCCATTGGTTGTGTCGAAACAGAGTTCCTTCCCTTAAACATCCCGATGTTCTTTGGTGCAGGCTTTTTTGGTTCGGCGTGTCTTTTGGGATCATCTTCTCGTTGATTCTCCATGTTCGTCCTTCCGTGAAGGCCGGTGAGAATGTCCCTTGGTCCTATCGTACTGTGGGACTGTAGGAACTATTTTCTGCCCCCCTTTACGAGCATTCTTCTTGGCCGTTGGAATCGGCGTATCTTGTAATGGGAACGGTGGCTGCATGACGTTGTTCTGCATCATCAAATTGAAGACTATTTGTAGGTCCGCCAATTTGTCCGCCATTCCTTTCATCTCTCCGTCCCCCCGCAGGCATCTATCCTTCCATACCTGGAGGTTGTTTTCGTTATAATACCTGCCTCGGTTTGCCTTTTTTGGTACGTTGCCCTCCTAGCCGACGTATTTTTTTTCGGGATTTGGATCCCGAGTTTCTTCATTGTAATTATCCTCCTCTACGTTGGGATCAAAGTGCTTACCACTCCCAGTAGGGATGTCATCCCCAACATTTTCTTTCTGTCTGTCGTTGGCCATTTATTCTCATTTTTTTTCCACAGACGGCGCCAAATTGTGTGTTTCAATTTCCAACCACACTACAAAACATCAGCTAGAGAGCACCATCAGAATAGATTAAGCTCGAACAACCTGTCACAGAAAGATAAGATTTTGACGGTGGTTCGTCTACCCGGGGGCACTCCGACGATCAAGTTAGTTATCTCTCAAAGATAGCAAAAGTGCTTAACTCACTATTGTGAATACAAAAAGCGTACCTTAGACCCATGAGGGCACCTTACTTTTTTAACCAACACTGACCTGATCCTTGTAGAAGCCTAGCTTCAATGGACTATGGCTCAATGCCTATCCAGGACTCTCAAATAGATAAAGATAAACTTCCTAAGAGTTTTATCCTTATCCAAGCTGAAGTCCTCCCTCATTTTAGGACTCTAGTAACTTATCCACTCATCTCGGATTCCGGTATCTCCTCAGATAACCTCAGCCTAGCCAAGATTATCTCGACGTCAAGTCAAGGACATGTGGCACCTCGGCTGGCACTTCAGTGTCACTTTGGCTACGCGTTGCTATCCAAAAAATATGTCCCCACACTTTCTTATAAAGTTCTTGTTTTTTCTCGAGGAATGGTCGATCAAGAGAATAGGTGGAAGGATCAAAGAGGAGCTCGAAACTGTTGAAGATCTCAATTGTGCGTCCCCTCTAGATGCCGATGACGCAACAGAAGACTCTCAACGGAGGAGGCGAAGTGGTTGCTTCACTGCCATTGGTGGCGGCGTGAGGTGGTTGTGATTGGGGCTTAAGGCAAGTGTAGTGAATGGAGATGTTGAGGATTACAAGTGGGTGGAGCTTGAATGTCAGTCCGCTGCTCGATGACGATGCCATTCTTCTCTCTCCTGCCTCCGATGATCATATCAGATCAAACCAACTTCATTCTGCTTTTTTATGGTTAATTGATTCCCAGTATATAGAAATTTGGAAATACTTTCTTAATATCAAATTTCTCTATGATAGATGGGTGTTGGTTGAGAGACCTTAGACATAAAAAAATAATATTGCAGATCTCTTCCATTATTAAAAAATGGGAGAGGGACCTCAAACTAATTTTTCTTTTTCTTTTTTTCCCCTTCTTTTTTCTCTGTATTTCCAAAATAGGCCAAATAAGCAGTTTTTTTTGCTTATTTCCAAAAGGGGAAAAAAATGCTTATTTTGTTATTCCCAAAATGGGCCAAAAATAAATTGCTTAAATAACCTACAAAAAAATAATTATTTGAAAGTTGGGAAAGTTTGTTTTTGACTTATACTTTTTTAAAAGGGTCAGGCTTCTCTCAAATCCGAAACTAGACTATAGAGTGTTGTTGGGCCCATGAGAGCTCACTACGGGTCTAATTTTGATGACCTGAACCATTCAATGTGTAAAATTCGCCGAATACTTCATCCATGCAAAAATTACATTAATTAGATATCGATAGTCATTTGATAAAATCATATTTCTATCAATGGTAAATATGGTTTCCAAAATAAATTGTTGACAAAAATCGAATCCAAGATCAAATAGCTATTGATATCCGATCAACATGATTTTTTTGCATAAATGAAATACCTGACGAGTTCTACACATTCAACAATTCAGATCCTCGAACATGACTCGTAGAGCCCTATGTGCCCATGTTTAATTTTTTTACTATTATTTTTTACTTAACCCAATGGGGTGTGACACTTTGGTAAGACTTTTGGGCATAAACCTTGAGCTCCCAAGTTCCACTCTCCTCAGGCAACAATGCATATGATTGGTAAGACGAAACTTTCAGGCATGGGCGAAACGAAACTTCCAGGCTTGGGCGAAACCTTCCAGGCCTGGGCGAACTGTACTTAGTATTAGGAGTGTGAGTTTAAATCATCACCTATGTGCAAGTCCGTGACATACTGCGACATTGTTGAGTGAACTTGTTATGTAACAACTACTTAAGGGTGACCTTTGCGGTCTTGCATCTACAAGGGTGACCTCTAGGGTCTTAATTCCTTACAGAGTCTACCACTAGAGATTACCCCATGTGATTAGGCATTTTTTGTTTAAATAATTTTTTAATTTACAATAAACAATATTAAGACCTCATTTGACAATTACATGTTTTAATTAAAAAATCAAAAAACTACTATAAATTGTCACATCACTCTTTATACTTTTCGGTATAACTTTTCGTAAAAAATAAAAAAATTACTAAAATAAATTATTCCCAAATCAGGCCTAAATAGTAACCATAATTTTTGGGTCCAATTAATTTGTTTTTGTGACTATTTAGTTGTATCAAACCAAAATCAATAAATAAATTTAAGGCATATAATCTTCTCCCAAAAAACTATATTGAAAAAAAACACACACTCACATACATTATCTTGTGTTTATGATCCCATGGCGGCATCCAATACTGTTATGTGTTTTGGGTTAAAATCAATATTATGATAGAAAGGTACAATAGTTACATGTAAAAATAAAAGAGTAAAAGATAAACATTATTCGAACTTAAAATTAGAGACAGCTTTGTGTTTGTTATTATAATGATGTGTCACATTTATTAATAATCAATTGTTTGATGATGTAGACTATCTTATACCCCATGCCAATGCTATTTAAGTTTTGTGCAAATTGTTTTCTTTAAATATATGTATCAAACAGTTCAAATCCTTTCACAAAACCTGTTAAAATTCCTTTCACAAAACCTGTTAAAATTATTGAATTAAAAATGCAGCTCTTTCCATAACTTATCCCAATTTGTTCCCTTTCGTTGACAAAACGGAAAGGATCACGTTAAATAAGACGTTTTAGTTTTTGACTATTTTAATAGGTGAAAATTTTTGTGTTTGAAAAGATGATTGTATTTTTTTGTAGTTAGGTGTCATGTTTGTGAGAAAAAAAAAGTAAAATGGTTACGGATTTAATATGACATTTTGTTTTATTAACTATTTTAATTTATTTTATCTTTTTGTGAATTTTAACCAAAAAAAAAAAAAACTAAAACCCAAGTTGCCAAATAGGACCTAGTGGTATATTTCAAAATAGTTAATATTTCATAAAAAACTGATGACTTTAATTATTTTATTGATCTGGAATTATTTTACAAACATATAATGCATTGTTATTTTCAAAAAATATAAAAAATAAAAAGTGAAAATTCCACTACATTTTCACGCATCAATAATGCACTTTACAATCAGTTTGTATACATTTACAACTTTTAATTTAAGGGTCGTTTGATAAATGGTTATTTTATTTAAAAAGTTAAAAATTAAATTTTAAATTATTATTATTTTTAATTCATACAAAAACGTTTCTTATCAATCATTGTATAAAATGAAAGATTTATTCCTATTAATAATTTTTGTAATTTATTTTGTGTTAAAAAATTAAGGATTTTTTTTTAAGGTCCCTCATATTAAGATTTTATAGCATAAAAGACATAAAATATTTACATACTAGTTGCGGTCCCTCAAATTTTTATAGAAAAATTTTGAAGCAGAGAAATTTTGATCCAAAGAAATTTGTGAAATTTCTTTGGTTTGCTCAATTTCTCTAACTTCTCTGGTTTGCTCACAATTTTTTCTGTGTTTTGACCAAACCAAAGAAAATTGAACTACAAACAAGCATATTTTTGCACAACATATACAAACAAGTATGTATATCTATTGGTGTTTTCATCATCATCGAACAACATTACTACGCCAACAATGCAATCTCAATTGAGCACTACTCCAATCACAAAGACCTCCCATACAGTTTATGAAAAAGTTCAAGAAAACTCTCTACAATGAGAAAAGGAGCTTCTTACTTTTTCACCAAAACTGGAAAAGTTTGTGAATGCACACAGCATATACTATGTTCATGTGCAAACATACAATCTTCATACATTTGGGCAGTTAACATGTAAAAAGAAGAAATTAATCACACCTATGACAATCTTTGTATCCCTTAGAAGATAGGAAAGTCCGTTAAATCAGATGACAGAAGTGAACATACCTCCTATTTAATACATCATTCCCTGTCCAAGCTATTAGTCCAAATGCATATATGTCCCTGGGATAAACCTATGAAGCAGAACAGTAAGTTAGGAAATACCAAAACAATCAAATTTCCGCAACTATCAGATCCCAAAAAGATCAAAGGTGGGTCTGTCAGGGAATTCACATGTAAACAATGACCACTATGAATGATTAATTATGCAAATCAGGGTTTCCTACTAAAGTAATAATTAAAAGAAGTTAACATAAGTCAAGAAAACAAATGCAGTGTCCTTTAACATGAAGTAAAAAATATCAAAGTACCTTCAAATCTATGCGATGTCGCAGTTCTCGACCAGGATACGTGCAAAGACCAAAATATGTGTCAACCCCTGTGTCAGTATCCTGTGTATTATCATATATATACAGGGATATATTAAAAGTACGCAACGACAAACATGAAAAGCAAAGACTGGATGGAATCAAGAAGGATGCACTAGATGAAGACATCCCAGCAAAAAGAACATGGAAATTAAAAAAGAAAAAGAAGAATTAACCTATAGGAATCAAACAAAAGGACTGAAGGAAACCAGCTAGAGAAGTAAACATAATACAGATATGTCTCAGATGCTATTAAATATAAATAATAATTTTCGCCTTCTCAAAATGATCTCTGAGATTCACGATTAAGGTCTCAGGGACCAGCATACAGTCCCAGAAACATTGTGCACATACAACCAACCATGTGTTTTAATGATTTAAATGTTCCAGCTGATGCTGACAATTAAAAGATATATCCACTTCAAGATATCCAAAATATGCTTTTCAATATTTACATACAGCCATATAGTTAACCACACAAACAAAATTGAGTAAGCACAAATTTTTGCTACTCATCACTGAAAAGGGAAGGAAAAAAAAATAAAAAAAACAAAGCTCTTGTCAATTTTGACACTTATCTTATCTGCAGGTATGTCAAAATTCAACAAAAACTACAAGGAGAAATAGATGAACACAAATTTATTTATACCTATATGTTCTACACAATATTACCTCCTCACTGTGAATACTAAAGATCAAGTCTTCCCTTAAGAACTTTATATCCTTCAGATGCTTTACATATTTCCGTAAAAACCCTATATTACTGGAAGAAGAAGGTAGATTGATCAGCCTTTCAGAAATAGAAGAAACATAACTAGTAGCAAGAAAGGAGCAAACTTTTAAACTCAACAAATTTAGAGAAAAAAAATCCTAATTTGATTTAAGTAGAAGTTACAGATAATATACTGAATCATGTGTTACATAAGCAGAAAATATATAAACCATCTAAATGCCTCAAAACCAGGAAGTCAAAAATCCTCAGGCTATTAAAGAGAACATAGTTATGCTTTCTACAATGTGTCAAGGTATGGGGTTTTTGAGAATCTTATATATAACTCAAGGGAATATGAGTGTGGGCAAGATTTCAGTTTGAAGAAAGGAACCTTAAAAGCCCAATTGGTAATTCGCTTAAAATTTTCGTAAGAAAAGAGAAAATATATAAACAGCTAAATAAATGGCATGAGCTCGTGGGAAACACAAACTATTTTCCTTTTCTTTGCAAGATGCGACAGATACACACACTAAAAAATGTTAATGCAATAACCAAGCTATTAAAAGATTGATCTTTACACCTTTTTCCATCAGGATGTGTGATTACAATGTCCATATCCCCACAAGAAGCTTTTCCACGTCTATATGATCCTCCACATATGACCACCACCTTTAGCACATAAATCAAGAATAAATGAGTAACCCACATATAAGTTATAACTACACATATGCATACTCTTAATTGCAAGCTAATCTTATGACTGAGGAATGACTGTTAAAGGATGTTTAAGTAATTCAAGACCTCATGCCTTCATATACAACTAGTTTGGTTCAACAAATTAACATTAAAATTTATAACTACCTTCTAGTTAACATTGATCATTTTTAGTATTTATTGATAATTTAGGTCAAGCTGACTCAACATAAAACCTCTTTTAATTGAATTTTTAGATTAAGTCATAAGCGATTATGCATTATCACACACTTAAAATTTTTAAATCACTGGGTATGTTCAGCTTTAAACACTTAATTTTGATACAAATAGTCCCTTAATACCAAATTCCACAATTATTATAAACCTTATATGTTAGGAGCCTCTCTCCATAGTTCATATTTGGCCTAAATTTGTAGTCCGATAACTAAACCATCTCAAGCAATGAAGAAATCAACTATGTTTATTGCTGACAATGTACCACAACCCCAAATGCAAATAAATCAACTCATAAACAAACTCAATGTATTAGTAATAGCAGTCACCTCAGGCAAAATTTCTTCAGCAGCTTTCTGTAGAAGTTGTTCCATCTCTTGAACCTATGTAATTAAGATGTGCATCAAAACAAAAATTACAACTTTCAAATCACAATCAAGTGTGATGAAGAGAAAAGTAAGACCTCGTGACGTGGAATCCTCGTTTTGATATCATCAAAATATTTCAATCCTAACCTCTGTGCATTTGTTAATGAATCCTCATTCTTCAGATCATCTAGAGTTCGGTGTCCTTTATCATAAAGTTTCAATGCAGTCGCTGGACCAATGCCCCATACTTCCCCAAATAGGCTGACTGTACGAACCTGTAAAAAGAAAACAATGAAAAGTAAGATAACTTTTGACTGGAACAACAATTTCCCTTAAACATAAGCAACATATTTCATCTTTCACGCAATGAATAGATGAAAGTGGGGTTAAGTACAGATGTACTCCATTTTGTTCAAAACTGATATACTTTTCTTATTCATACTGAAAAAACTATTATGCATAAACATTACAGAAGGGATAAGGCTTCAGCCATTCAGTTATGCCACAACTAAATAAAAAATCAATTATGTATTCAGAAGTTGATAAAAAAGAATAGAGTGTGGAAGATCTGTATGATATGATGAAAAAATTAGTACAGCAGGTTAAAGAAACTATTTATTGATTTTTAAGAACCTTTACAACACCTTTTCATCTGTCTCAAAGTGCTCCAACTTGGAAAGCTTCCCGGTACTCACAATCTCCTGAATCTGCAACCAATCCGCACTTTGACTTGTAGGGTTTTATATTTATATATATATAAACCCAAAATGACCGATTTCCAAAAGAAAATATAGTATTAACTAGTCACCGACACAAACACCAACTTCGGATGATGTTAAAGCTATGAAGCATGGATACTTCGAAAAACATGCCGTACCCGTACCGGGTACTTACCGGCGTACCATACCTCGTATGGTACTTCTGCATACATACCAGGTACACGAAACACATACCCAAGTTTTTTCTTCTTAATTTTTGACATACCCAGACGTACCTAGTATATAGCCAAGCGGTACCGTACCTTAGTTGAAACAATATTTTCCTTCTACTACAGAGATAAAACTCATTTCACTAGATTTCTTTTTTATTTTTTGTTTTATGCTTGGCATAATTTTAAAATTAAACTATGATTTGTAAGTTATTTAATATATTGACATTTAATTTTAATTTATACTTTTTCTTTTAGCATTAAATGTTAATTATAGGTTGGACATTAACAAATTAAACCATTTAATTAATTTTTGCATTACTCTAAATTAAAAATAAATATTTTTTTTACAAGCATATCAAGCCGTATCTGTACCCTATTTTTTTTTTAATTTTACCGTATCGACGTACCCGTATCGTACCAGTACCAGTACTCGTACCCATGCTTCATAGCAGCCATGTGAAGAAGAAGATAGAAACGTAGAGAAGAAAAAGAGAAGAGAAGAGAATGAGAGAGAAACGTAAGAAGAGAAAAAGAAGAAGACAACAACGTGAAGAAGAATTTTCCAAGCTGCTGGGCTAGATAACAAAGGCAGACAACAACAAAGTGTTTTTTGGAGATTAGGAATTAGGGCTAAATCGTTGATTTGGGGCCGAATGCCCAATGTATTGGCATGTGTAATTGAGAGTTAGGATCTTTTGTAGCTACACCATATTAAATCAATGGTCAGATTTCAAACAAAACCAATCAAAGCAATAATAAAATAAAATAAAAAAATCCCTCAAAGCGCAAGCCTTGGGTTTTACTACGGCTTGGCCAAGTCGCGTGCCCTATGCGCTACTTATCAAAGTCACCTAGCTTGGAACACTGCAAGGTGAAAACCTTGGGCCTAGGTGGGACTTGGGCCTAGGTGCACATTTAATAACACTGTTCGTAACTATTTCAAAGATAATGCAATGAAAGAGAAGAATTCTGTTGGTTGAAGGGTGTCTTGATGCATATGCATACATTTTTTGGTGTTCATATGTGCAATAATGTGATGCTTGATGAGATAAACCATAGAAAAATTATTGATCTGTGGGTTTTTTATTTTTTATTATTATTATTTTTTAAAGTTTAGGAGTGTGCTTGCCCAATTGGCCTCATGGATCAAGTTCCATTATATTCTTTGTCCGCTTTGTCATCTGTGTTGTCAAAATACGTTTTGTTTTTTCTTATGTTACCTTTGGTATAATAAGGGATGAAAATTTTGGGAGGAAGGAGGATGATAGAAGAGGCATACTAGAGATTGAATTGTGTGTTTTCTTCTATTTGTTTTATGAATGGAAGAGAGAGAGAGAGAGAGAGAGAGAGATGGTTGTAACATAATTTTATTGGTTGTCTTTGCAAAATGAAGGATAACCAACCTTTTAAGGTTAAATTATAAATCTATATTGAATAGGATGGGGAAGCTCGTGCTCTCCTCCCCATTAACCCCTTAATGTGAGCCTGTGAGCCGATGAAAATTGGTGGGTTTGGAGGCAGTGCACATCCCTTCCTAGATTTGTAATTGGCATGGGCTCTTTTAATTTGTGTCCAAACTTTGACTGTGTATACAAATTTATGTATTGCATAACATATTTTTGACATTTCTTAAGTTGTGCAGTGATTGGTCAAAATATTTGAGATAGTAGTGGAGCTCATTTTCCTTGCTCAAAGCCGGTTTCTCTAGCTCTAAAATACTTGAACACCAGGCTTGTAAACACAATGGTTTTTGCAACATTGATGTCCCAAA